CTTCTCCAAGATCAATTCCATCTGGCCAGCAAAGTCCAGGGACTGCAGCCGGCTGGCGACCCTCAGCAGAACCACTTGCAGACTGAGTCCAGCTCACTTGAGGCAAAAGTCTGAGTGCTGAAAGAACGGCAATCCTTCATATTGGTCAGGCAGCCAGGAAATGGCCTGAGCAGCCATCAATATTGTTTTGTAGAACACCAGGAGACCACCAAGTCAATCTGTAATATCCAGAACAGAGAAGAACAGAGGTCCCACCTTTGACAAGTCCTCCCATGGAAGAAAAAACTTTGTTCCAAAACTTTATTAAGAGACCAGCTAACCAAATCCATAAAAATAAAAATATCTATAATTGCTGGTTTCGGATGAAAACATAGAGAAGGCTCCGAGCRGCAAAACAGGGAAGATAAGGAAGGGCAGGAGAGAGGGAAGAAAGCAGTAATGAGGGTGTTGCTTCGGTTGGTCGTGGTGAAGAAGGAGCTGAGTTGAAAGGCAAAGCTCTTGATTTATTCGTCTGTCTTTGTTCCAACCCTCACCCATGGTTCATGAGATGTGGATCATGACTGAAAGAACGAGATCCTGGATACAAACTGCTGAAATGAGCTTCCTTCATCATCATGGTCTGTTACTCTGCTGAGCATCACTCTGTGTGAAGCTGCATCCATATTCATGTCCCATCACCATGGATACTGACAGATCTGTCACTCAAACAGCTGCTGTGTTCATTTCTGTGTTTGTACATCGTGGTGCTCAAGTTAAAGCAGCATCTGATCAGGAGGTAAACAAGTTGAGAGAGTTTTACACCAGGAGAGACTTGGCTCTGTCCGTCCAGCTTCACTGACGAATCAGGGTCATTTAGGAGCATAAAGTTCAATAAACTGAAACAGCATAGAGTCAACATAAATAAGGTTATGTTTTAAATTTTTTCATCTTGTCTACATTTAATTTTGTTTCATTTCTTTGTTTTCATCCTGYTTTCTGCGGGTTTTTAGTTGTCCCTTTTTGAGGTCCTTGTTGTCTCTTCACGTTCCTCCGCTGTCTGGTTTCTGATTTTAGCTTCTCTTTTATTTTGTTTTTCAGAAAACCCCAACCATCTTCAGCTGGTCCTAAATGCTGCTGTTAGGCTCTTAACTGGAACAAACAGAAGAATTCACGTCTCTTCACTCTTAATTTTAGATTTTATTGATGTAACCTTTCAGAGCTTTTTGTGGCCAAATTCCTGAGTTTATCTGTGAATTATTTAGGCTTTACTCTTAATCCTGGTCCTTAAGGTGCTCTAACCAGGAGCTGTTCCTCAGACTTTGTTTAAAAAGAGAGAGGACCGTGTTTTTCAATCATTTGCACCTTTCCTGTGAACAAACTCATCTTGTTTTTATGATGCATTCACAGCATGATTCAACCCAACCCAAGCTTTTAATTAGAGAGATTTTTGCTTTATTTTGTCTCTTATTTTGTACCAATGCATATTTGGAAAAAAAATCTAACACTGGAATAAATATTTCTTCATTTATAATGTTTAAATATAACCAAGGAACAGTAGTGTGTAACCACTGAGGCAAATTAAAGTGTTTTAACTGAAATTTTTGACAAATAGATTTAGAATTTATTTAGAAAATAGTGAGATAAACTCTGATCAGGTTAAATATTTCTGTGAGACTCCAAAGCAAACGAGATACTTACTCCGACAGTATGATCAATGTCTTTTTAGCTTCTTTAGATAAAAGACAAAACTAGATTTAAACTTATAAATGGAAAAAAAATTGTCAACTTGGACACATCTGGCCTGCTCAGAAGGCCGGGCGTTAAAGAAACCACTGAGTTTCAGGTCAACTGAGTGTTGAAAGCTCTTTGAGGGACATTTCTTTCTTCCTTCACCATAAACAAAACGTTCCGTCACGAGTTTCTAAAATAGCTCAGATCCACCTTTTCAGCCAATCACCGGGCAGCAGCTCAGTGCTTTTATCCATGTGGACGTGGAGAAGATGACACTTTGAAGTTCAAACTGAGCAGCAAAACTGTGAAGAAAAGAGAGTTAAAGTGATTTTGAACCAACATGGTTGTTGACGGACTAGGCTGTGTTTCAGAAATTGCTGATTTTAATCAATATCAGCCTGAAAAAGAGAAAATATCCAGTGAGCGACTARAAGGTCTTATCAAGGTCAGGAGACTGAACAGACTGGAGATGACAGAAAGATATAAGAAGCTCAAAGAACCACTTGTTCCAAACGAGGTCTGCAGAAAACACATCTCCTATTTTATGTGACTTTTAGTATTTTTGGTCAGGTGTGAGCTTTTGTTGCCATGAGACCCTGTCCTACTGGCTAAATATTGCATTAGCATGAAAAATACAACTTCAAACCTCTTCAAGTACATTAGTCAACAATTATTGTGCATCAAGAAGTCCTTTGAATATTGTGCACACTGACATTGTGATGACAATACAGCGGGTAAAATAAGTATTGAACACGTCACCATTTTTCTCAGTAAATATATTACTAGAGGTGCTAATGACATGAAATTTTCACCAGATGTCGGTAACAACCCAAGTGATCCATACATACAAAGAAATCAAACCATAAATGTCCAGAAATGAAGTTATTTGTAATAATGTGGAATGGCACAGGGAAAAAGYATTGAACACACTTACTGAAATTTATCTAATACTTTGTACAAAAGYCTTTGTTGTCAATGACAGCTTCAAGACGCCTCCTGTATGGAGAAACTAGTGGCATGCATTGCTCAGGTGTGATTTTGGCCCATTCTTCCACAAACAGTCTTCAAATCTTGAAGGTTTCGTGGACCTCTTCTATGAACTCTGATCTTTAGTTCTTTCCATAGATTTTCTGTTGGATTCAGGTCAGGTGATTGGCTGGGCCATTCCAGCAGCTTTAGTTTCTTTCTCTGAAACCAACTGAGAGTTTCCTTGGCTTTGTGTTTGGGCTCATTGTCTTGCTGAAATGTCCAGCCACGTTTCATCTTCATCATCCTGGTAGATGGAAGCAGATTTTTATCAAGAATGTCTCTGTACATTTTTCCACTCATCCTTCCTTCAATTATTTGAAGTTTGCCAGTACCATATGCTGAAAAACAGCCCCACACCATGATGTTCCCACCTCCAAACTTCACTGTTGGTATGGTGTTTTTGGACTGATGTGCAGTGCCATTTGACCTCCAAACATGATGTGTATTATGGCATCCAAACAGTTCAGTTTTGGTCTCATCTGACCAGACTATATTCTCCCAGTATTACACAGGCTTGTCTAAATGTTGTGCAGCAAACTTTAAAGGAGCTTCAACATGCTGTTTCTTCAGCAGTGGAGTCTTGCGTGGTGAGCGTGCATACAGGCCATGGTGGTTCAGTGCATTACTTATTGTTTTCTTTGAAACAATCGTACCTGCTAATTCCAGGTCTTTCTGAAGCTCTCCACAAGTGGTCCTTGGCTCTTGGACAACTCTTCCGATAATTCTTTTCACTCCTCTGTCAGAAATCTTGYGAGGAGCACCTGGTCGTGGTCGGTTTATGGTGAAATGATGTTCTTTCCACTTCTGAATTATGGCCCCAACAGTGCTCACTGGAACCTTCAGAAGTTTAGACATTCTTCTGTAACCGATGCCATCATTATGCTTTGCAACAATAAGGTTGTGAAGGTCTTGAGAGAGCTCTTTACTTTTACCCATCATCAGATGGTTCTTGTGTGATACCTGGCCATCATTTGGGACTGAACCAGCTGATATTAACTTGCACTGACAAGGGGCAGGCTTGCTTTCTAATTACTGAGAGAGTTCAGCTGGTGTCTTGGCTTTCCATGCCTTTTTACACCTCCCTTTCTTCATGTGTTCAATACTTTTTCCCTGTGCCATTCCACATTATTACAAATAACTTCATTTCTGGACATTTATGGTTTGATTTCTTTGTATGTATGGATCACTTGGGTTGTTACTGACATCTGGTGAAAATTTCATGTCATTAGCACCTCTAGTAATATATTTACTGAGAAAAATGGTGACGTGTTCAATACTTATTTTACACGCTGTATATTTGTTATGCTGTGCAATCCTATTAGATTCGAGATATTTTGTTGGGTGGTTTACCCACATCACCATGTTTCCAAGAAAAGATCCAGTAGCATTTTGTGAATGCTTTGTAGTGTTGTTAATTTATGACATATTTCTGTTCAAACTATGTACAAATCTGTCAGGTTTCCAATATGTGTCCCCTCAATAGTAAACTCCTTCCTACACCCTTGGCTGCTGGTTAGAAACACCACAAGCAGGAGGATGCATTGGCAAATATGTTTTTTAAACTATAATAAAACTAATACTAGAACTAATAAAAACTAAACTAAAACTAAGCATTAGACAAACAATAAAAAGTAATAAAAACTAGCAAATTCACTGTAAAAACTAAAAAAACTAACTGAATTAAAAGAAAAAAAGTCAAAACAAAATAAAACTGAACTATAATGAAAAACCCAAAACTATTATAGCCTTGCTCTGAACTTACAACATGCTCGACTTGCACGACGGCTCAGTGGTTAGCACTGACGCCCCACAGCAAGAAGGTCCTGGGTTCGATCCCCGGTTTGTACCTGGGGTCTTTCTGTGTGGTTTACATGTTCTCCTCGTGCTCACGTGGGTTTTCTCCAGGTACTCTGGTTTCCCCCACAACACAAAACATGTACAATAGGTTGCCTTCAGGCCTGGGCCTCCCTTGAAAAAGAGCTCTGAGATCTCAATGGGACTTGCCTGGTAAATAAAATAAAATAAATAAAATCAACTTTAAAGCAGATGAGCTACAGCAGCAGTGTGACGCTAACATTTCAATATGGACTCAACTCTTTGAGGAAGGTTTCCAACAACCTGCTGATTTTTTGCCTTGAAGAATTAAAMCAAACCCGAAGCAGTCCTGGCAAGATGGACTTTCCACATATCTCTCACTTGAAAATGTTCAGAAAGAAAACACTTGGTGTTTTCTTAAAAACATCACTCCAGAACTAACTGAATAACAGTTGAGTCTTAAAATAATTTATTACCACTAAAAACAGTGAAGTTCTAAAACAATCAAATGTTTTTAATATTCTAAGACACTCAGACAGTACAGACAAAACATTTAGGACATCAACAAAGGAACAGTCTATTAAAATATAGGTTTGTTTTATATATACTGTATATATAAATATGTTTATACTTTACTAACAGTTAGCCATATCTTTCACCACACTTTGTTCCACAGAAAGCTGTTGCATCTTTGTGTTGTGCGCACGTACGAAGTTTCACAACAACATTGATCAACAGTAACACGGAGCTCTGACAGGAACACGTCTGTCGAGTGACGCCACCTTCCAACAGCGGCTCGAATGGAAATATTGGTTTCAAACTCAAACAGGGCATCACAAAGCTTCCACATTAGCAGCAACAACTTCCAAACAGCAGCGACACCGACACTACAAGCAGCAGCTATGGTCCATCAGTACGACTCGTCCGGTCTGGACTGACCGCAGGCAGCAAAGCGTGAGGTGGAGGAGGAGGAAAAGCTTACAATCTTCAAGGTTTTTACAGGCATGGTTTAACATGGATCTTTACAGTAAACATTAAAGTAAAAACAGCGGAATAATGAACACAACAACAAAGAACAAACCCTATGAAAAAATAAATAACTTAGTGCTTTACATTCTATTTCTATTATATCTCTATTTCAGCTGCAGATTTATGTTAGAACTGGTCAAATATAGAATAACTTTCTTAATGAAACAGATGAAAATGTGTTACAAAGTATAGTAGAATAAAAACATGGCTTTTTCTTGTGACTTGTTTGCACGACTAAAGAATAAAGGTAGGTCCCGTTTTGGTGACAAATGATGCTCATGGCTGACCTGTGGAGGGCTGATCTAAGGTTCTGTGGAGAGTTTCTGAACAATTAATATCTCACCTGTTCAACATAGCTCTTGAAAAGGCCTCAGTTTGGAAAAATGAMGTTGATTTCTGACAGAACTGATGAGCTAAACCAGCCACGGGAAGGACACATGCTGGGTACTTCTGGTGTCGGTTCCTAGTACAGATATCTGGCGTAAAAGAACATGCAGATCTACACCTGCTCTACAATATCTACATCTGTCCTACAATATCTACAGTTGTCCTACAAGATCTGCAGCTGTCCTACAAGATCCAAGACCATGGTCTATGGTGGACATGCATCAAGGAGCATCAGGAAGTGTTGCGGTGCGTATAGCATGGCCCGTTTTGAAGTGTTTAATGCTGGAGTTGAAAAACCTGAAGTTTTGTAGCTCGACACAGAGCGTCAACCAATCAGAGAGACTCAACTATGTGATGTGGTGGCACATTTTCTGACAGGATGGTCTCCTGGATGATGTCCACTAACCTGAGACAGATGGACAGGGGCTCTTCAGCTGAAACCGAGTGCCTGTAGCCGGTGTCCTGGCAGGAGATGTGGGCACCGAAGCGGGTCGGCAGCTCGTCAAACTGGGCTCATTACAGAAATAGTGCTAAAAGCGAGACTCGTCAGCTCGAATCTCCCAAAGCTGTGAAACTCAACAAACTCAGAACTCCTCTGAATTATCTGGTGAATACAAACACCAATGATGACATGTTCTAACTCTCAGTAAATAAATCCAAGCCACCCTCTTTAATCTGCCATTGTACAGAGACCAATAGAGGAAAACAACCAGAAGCTCTTCCTGACGTGCATGATGCACATCTTTATCAATTTTGACAAGGGTCTGACCCCAAAATGCACGAACGTACAACTTAAAGCRTTGGACGTGTTTTTGATGCTCAAATTGCATTTGGTCTGAACACAGTATATGACTGCCATTCAAGACCTAAAACTACCATTTGAGATCTACAGCTGCTCTACAAGTTCTACCACTGCCATACAAGAGCCACAGCTGTCCTACAATGTCTTTGACTGTCCTACGAGATCTGCGACTGCCTCACCGGCCACATTTAACACCAACTGCCTTCAGTTCTGTTAACCATGTCTGATAAAGCAGCAGCCAAAAGACAAAATAATCTGCTATAAATGATGAACTGTTAAATTTAAACAAGACCAAAGTGGGTTGCTACAATCCTAAAAATACAGCTTCAATCTAATAAAAATGAAACAAATAGTTAAAGGTGGTGTAAAAGTTTGATAATTTAAAGCTTTACACCACAGTCAGTTTGGAAAAACATGGCTATAGTGAACAGACTGCACTCACACAGATATTATTTTGTTATACTGACCACTCAAAATAACAACATTTGACTCTCTGATTGGCTGAGAACATCTTTTCCTTCTGAGTCATAGCTGCCATTATTTACAGAGAAGTCTGCATTTATTTGCAAGCACAAACATCAGCAGCAGCTAGCTGTAGCACCTCTGGTGCAACCTGGGGTCACTTTAAAACAATATGCTTTGAAAATAAAAACCCTGTAAGGTCAAATTAATGACGTAAGAGTTCAAATAATAGCATTTGAATGAACTTCTTTGTAAGTCTTAAGATTTAAAGTGGGTTTGCTTGGAAAATCCCAGATACAGGGTTCAAGTAAACCAATTTTTAAAGCTAATTATACAATAAAACATCTTCAGTCTTCTAAATTTCATCGCTTTTAATGCAAGCTCAACCTTTACACAATATTAGGATATTGTTAGCCTGGTAAAAACCAGACCCTTGACCTTCACTTTGCTTCGTACGAGGAGCAGTGAAGGGGAACTAGAATTGAGCGGAACTGCATAGGAAGGCAAGGGCCAGGCTAGGATATTCCTGCAGTTGCACGAAATGTTTACACAAAATATTTAAAGATTGGAAGTGTTTAAAAACGGCAGCAACCCACTTCAGTCTTGGGCCCACTCTGACTAGCTAAATTAGCTCGTCGGTCCTGCTGGAATTAAAATGTTGTTGTCTAAGCTGAGGTATTTTAAAGAGTTATAGCTTTTCCACAGAAACTTACTTCAAAATGGCCAGAATGTCCCTTTAGCTTTGCATCAGAATCAGTTAGTCGGTTTTAGCACTTCTTTATTATTAATAGGGAGGAGCTTCTGTTTATAAACTGACCCTGGGTTTTTGTGAGATGAATTTTCCTGTTTTTATCGAACATTCCCTGATCAACTAAATAAAAAGCTGATTTTTTTACACTGATTTTTCTGAATTTTAACAAAATTATTATTTACTTTTGTTTGCTGGTGGCCACTTAATAAAAATAATAATAATACCGCAACTGGGTATGAACTGTATTCACATGGCAGTGTTGTAACTGACTTCTTCTATTACTGTTAACATAAAACAAACGTCCAAACATCAAGTGATAAAATATTGCTGATTTTACGACCAGGTGAAATCAACGCCCTCCCTGCAAATGTCAGACATAAAAAACTTTGAATAAACACTGAATTGTTGGGGAAAGCAGTTCAACAGGTATTGTGCTAGTTAGTAGACTTCATGGAGATGTGAGGTTAATAATCCCACCAGGAACCTCTACCCACACTTACAGACAGGTTTCAGGACAAGCAGCCATGCTGCCATTTTGCTGAGGCTCTTTCAGGAACCTTTCCACTTCCTGTGAGTCCACCGTTATGCTCTTTGGCCTGAACTCAGCCATTTCCTCGCTGTTTTTATCCTCCTCCTTCGTGGCTTTCTCTTGCTCCTCCCTGGCCCCTTTCTCCTCGTCGCCGATCATTTCTGGCCCCCGGCTGCTTGCCTCTGCAGTGCAGTCATCTGTCGCTGTGATGCTCTCCAGTTTGTCTGCCTCCTCGGAGGGCTTCGGCTTGATAAACAGGAAGTTGCAGGTGGCCAGAACCACAGCTGAGAGCACCACCTCACATCCCGCCAGCAGGAAGACGTACATGTAGTTCTTGGTGGCATCAAGCAGACGCCCTGAAACAAACGAAGGGTTGAGGAAACAGTTGAGGAGATTAAAAGTGAGTTGGAAAGGCTCATTATTTTGTAACTATTTGTTATGATAATCCTACTGCTGTGTACATTCAGAATTTTAGTTATCAGTTAGTTCCTTATCAGCTTTAACATCATTCATTGACCATGAAGAAATGGCAGAACTGCTCCTCCAGTGTACTACACTTCTGCATGGCACCATTTGTTCAGCTTTGATCTGTTTTCTCAAACTGACATGCATGTTTTTAAACGAATGTACGTGTGCTGCACTGCAAAAACTGTCCATCTTACCAAGTTTTAAAATCTTATATCCAGCCAAAAAGTCTTTTTGATCTTGTTTTGAGACTGATTTACTAAACAAGAACTGATTGTGTAAGAATAATCATCTTGTTTTCAGATTGTGTAAGATTATTTGTCTTGTTAGTCTGAAAATTTGACTCAAATTAAGTCAAACATTTCTGCCAGTGGAGTAAGAAAAGTTTACTTTGTAAGATAATTGAAATAAGAAAAAATTGAGTCAAATCAAGTATTTCAAGAATCTTACCAAGTAAAATTTTCTTACTCCATTGGCAGAAATGTTTGACTTAATTTGAGTCAAATTTCCAGACTAACAAGACAAATAATCTGACGCATTCTTAAAACAAGATAATTATTCTTACACAATCAGTTCTTGTTTAGTAAATCAGTCTCAAAACAAGATCAAAAAGACTTTTTGGCTGGATATAAGACTTTAAAACTTGGTAAGATGGACAGTTTTTGCAGTGTGAACATAGACTGTGTAATTGCAAATAATCAAAAAAATAAACTGGGTTGTTAGGATTAACATATTGGTACCCACTGACCTGCTCCTGGTGGTCCAACCAGCACAGCTATAGCCTCCATGAGCAGGACAAGGCCGATGGCACTGGAAAACTTTTCAGTACCAACTATTGCCATCAGAACCTCAAACTGCAGTGCACCCACCATGCCGTAAGAGATGCCAAAGAAAATGCAGAAGACCACCAGTGATGCGTAGTCCTTAGACTGGGAGAGGTACGAGAGAAACGGCTGAGCACCTGAAAGAAATTTCTCACTTTGTATTGTTTGGTTTGACAAGCAAACATTCACCCACCTGTGAGCCAATCAGGTCAGCAGTGCCATTAAAGAGCATAGCAAAGCTGAAAAAGTAGACGCACCGAGGTCKGACCCATTTCAGTCCGGCGATCACGCCACACGTCGGTCGGGCAAAAATATCAATGAAACCCAGGATGGTGAGCAGCAGGGCCGACTTGGTGTCCTCATTCCCCAGCTCTTTAGCGTAGCTCACAACAAACACGGGCGGCACGAACAAGCCCAGCACCATGATGGACGCCGCCACCGTGTAAATGAGAAAGCCGCGGTCTTTGAACACAGAGAAGTCCAGCAGTTTGGCCTTCTTCTTATTTCCTTTCACCTCTGGTTCCTTGTCTTCGTCCTCGTCCAGCTCCTTGTTCTGGGCAGACTTGGGAGGGACCAGAGGCTTCATGAGGGCCCCGCACACGCAGCAGTTCAGCAGAAGACCTCCCAGGATGAGGAAGCCTCCCCTCCATCCGTACTGGTACTGAAGAACCTGGCCCAAAGGTGAGAGGCAGCACAGGGCCACAGGGCTCCCTGCCGCTGAAAGCCCATTGGCCAGAGGRCGCTTCTCACTGAAGTAGCGGTTCAACATAATTAGAGAAGGTTGGAAGTTCAGGGCTAATCCCAGACCTGCAGCAAAAACCAAGAATGTTAAAATTTCCTTAAATTAGACAAAAAATATTTACGACTCAAACATTGTCATTTGTTCATTACTAATTCACTAAGTAATTTTCAAAGCATGATTTTCACCATTTCATTCTAGTTTGAGAGAGGGCTTWATGGCTATTTAGCGGAGCAGAAACTTTTTATTTACAAATTAATTAAAAAATGTCAACAACAGAGGACTTGTCCATCCAGCCTGACAGGTAGTCTGACCCAGAGCCAGAGGAGAAGGAAGATAGCAAAATTGTAATAGGTAAGTTCAGATCTGTCTGTTCTGTCACAAAACTGTGACCTAATAGTCCAGAAAGCGTCATAAAAGGTAGAGGAAAAATGAACGAGTTGAAAAATATGACCCAATCAGAATATAAAGATACCTACGCAGCACTGGGAGAAACTAAATTCAAATTCATTGCTCTCCTAGAGACTCCATGTTCATTACAAAATGTATTTAATGGCTAAAAATGTGGATTTTTCATGATGTGTCCCCTTCTGATGTGACCCGCATGCACAGAAGATGACGTGACGTCACATTCAGCTTGCTGTTTGCAGAAGTAAATATGGAGGCTACATTTTCAGACTGTCATGAAAAAAATCTGATTTGGATCACATTTGCCTGCAGTGTGAACGTAGCCTTAGTTCAGTCTTCCTCTGGGGTAGATCCTGCTCCTCAGTGCTGCCACACTCACACCTGAGCCCTGGTGCAGTCAGCACAGATGTTCCTCATTTCTTCAATTGTTTGCCATTTAACTGTCTGGAAGTCAGTGGAGCATTGTGCATCCAAACATCCCTGTTCTTAAGTTCTAAATAAATGTATTTATTTTTTATTTTTTGAAAGAAAAGAATTTTGCTCAGACTGATAAAATAAGAACCAGAAAGAAGACCTGTCCACAGTTTGTATTGATGGTTAGAGAAGGCAGACACACTGAAATGTTAACATTTATGTGCACATATTTGAACCTGTAATGACTCCAGTAGAGAGATAGATGTGGATGATGCTGGTGGAGAAGGAGGCCATGATCATTCCCAGAGAGGCAAACAAACCTCCCACCATCATCACCGGGCGACAGCCAAAGCGGTTCACCAGAACGCTGCAGATAGGACCTGCACAGATTTCAAAACATGGTGCCTGATTATCTGCTGCAGCATCAAACATGTTGCTCCAAGTGAGACAGAAAGGAAGACCCTACACAAATATCCACTAAAACAGAGTCTAATCAATGTGTTGTCCTAATTTCTACTCCCTGTATGTATTTTGTGTGTGGAACTGGCAAGTTGCAGTGTCTGTAGATTACACAGATTTTCTACCATTCTGCATGTACGCAGATGTAAAGGGCAATCTTACAGATAAAAAAAACAACAACTTTGCATCAAATTTCTTTAAGCACTCGAGCTGGCAGACTGTAAAGAAATAAGCTCGCCACCTCCTCGTCATCCTCTCCTTGCTCCTCTGCCACTTCAGACGTTATTTATTTTCCCCGTTGCCGACGATACGCTTGTCCACTCCAAACCCAATGTATTGTGTGACAGTGTTTCGGATTTTTATGAAAATTACAGATTTCTGAGGGTCAAGAAACAGATAAACGTCTGAAGGGGTTGACATTTGGAGGGGAGTGGGTGAAGCAGATCAGAGAGGTAGGGTGGGGCAAGACCATTTAAACTTGAAAAAAAAAATTATTATCTTAAAATCAATTATAAATTGCACAGGGAGTCAGAGGGAAGTCAGAGTAGTAGTAGTGAGAGTAGTAGTGATGACAAACTCCATTTAGAAGCCGAGCAGCAGCGTTCTGAACCAACAGAAGATGTCCAAGTACTTATTGAAAACAAAAGTGTGTTTAACATTTTTCAGACAACCAAATTATCACCCACTCCATGGTGAGATCAGGCTGCTTCCATCTGGATGCAGGTATCAGTTGACCAAATGTAGGAAGTAGTAAATTTTTTTAATAAAAAAGTTTTTATGTGTGTGTTTGTGTACGAATGTTTTTGTTTTGTTGACTACTGGCTGTGCAACAAATTGCCCCTTGGTATTACTGCCTTAAACTTGAAGGTAAAGAGCCATACAATGAAACCATGATTTAATAAAAACATAAATTACTGTTTCAAATGGCTGTTTTGTAAAAAAAACAGTTTTGTCTTTTTCCAGCTGCCTGAGATGACAAAAACTGGACTTGCCAACTACTCAATCTGGTAATCCAACTTAAAATCATAAAAAACAGATTAGAAACTGTTGGTTTTAGGTGCACCAGGGATCCCAAATCAACAGTAGGAGGTACAGAGGAGCTACTGGAACCAATCATCATCACTTCTGTTTTCTTGTTCTTAAAATTCCAAATGTTTAGGGCCATCTTGGCTTTGATGTCTTCAAGACACAACAGAAGTGGTTGAACTGAAAGGGCATCCTTTTTCAGTGGTATAAAGATCGGACTGTCATCAGCATAACAATAAAAAAGAACCTAATACTTTCTGCATAATAAGCCCAATGGACACAATAAAGATAAAAAAGCAGGGTACTTAAGATTAAACCCTGTGGAACTCCTAAAGACAAGAGCAGAGGTGGATTCAGAATGTATGACTCTCTGGTCATAAATACTCAATAGCCAGTGAAACTAAAACTGAAAATGTGTGTATTATCTTGCAATTATGAGCCARTTATTTGATGTACATCTACAAGTCACTAACATTTAGAAGTAACCCAAAGTAACCCACCACTACTGATTGACTTTTAAAATTGTTATAACTCAGTCTAATTTTATGAAGCCTGTCTGGTGATGTGGAATTTAAAAAAATAATCACATGGCCACGAGATAATAACGCATGCCCATGAGATAATTAATGTGGGCAGCAAATGGCTAATTTTTAGCAGCCGTGTTGTGAGAGACAGACATTATTGGTGTCAGATTATCGTGCATTTTTTGTCTTTAATTGTTTAAATATGCACACGTATTATTATTATTGTTATTATTATTATTATTATTATTATTTGGTGTATGCCAATATAAATGGATCAACTTTCATAGTAGGCTATTTATGAAATGACAATGATGGTTGTGTCAGGAAATATATTTTTTTACTGTGTTCCTGAATGCAACACAACTGTGACTCCTGCAGCTGAGGCGCAGAGGGACAGGAGCCTGTTTTGAAAGGAAAAAAAGAAAAGAAAGCTTTTCCGACAAAAAAACAACTCCATTTGTCACCTGGGACTTATAGCTGCAACACATAAAGCTAAGAAATAACTTCTTCATGCCTAATGTAAGGTGCTGACGAAGCAATGTCATTTATTATAATTGTCAAGAAACCGGGCTGTGTCAGCCACTGAAATGATTGGAAACAGGCCTGCGGTCCCGACCTTTGACCTACAGCAAAGAAGAGGACAAGACAGGAAGAGAGGTCACAAGGAAAATGATTTTAGTTTTTATCAACAATACAAACACATCTAACCCATCAGTTCACCTTCAGATTTATGGAGATGTTTTATCAGGGCAACAACACAAACTGCCCAGATTCCTTGTCAACAGAGAAATACTCCAGACACATAAAGAGTGGAGGCTTGTTGCTCAGCAAAGATGCCAACATTCAAACTATGGAGAGTTTCAAACCTCCACTCTGCTCTTATTAAACTCCTGTGGCTTTAAATCTCCCAAATGATAATACAAGTTTTGCATTGAAGTAAATTTTATAACTGACTAACTGAATGTTAGATCCAGTATTGTAATTTTACACATTCTGATCATTGTAGCYATAAGGTTTAAAACAGAAAATGAGAGTCTGCGTGTCTTATCATGTGTTCTCATAAACAAGAGATGGTACATCTGATGTACGAGGTACCACCTTCAGGGGTGTAACCAGGAAGAAACATACATTATAAGGCTGATTCATGTGATTCATGATTCATTCTTACTCCGGAGCCTACTGAGTGCTGGAGCTGACTGGAGACAAAAATAAAGTTATTTAGAAGAGATTCAACTGGTTTCCTGCTATATTATTCAGACTTCCATTTATTGATCATGAATTCTCTTCAGTATGATACAAAGCTCCCTCACTGTATTTCCCAGTGTTTCTATCCTCTTCTCCACGTCCTTACTGTCCTTCAACTTAAGCACCTGAGCAAACTTCACCCAGATATTCAAGACGGAGGGAGTCATTACCACAGATAGGAAAACAAGAGCAATGAGACAAGCAGTTACTCCTAATGCTCCTACAGAAACAGGCCYTTTGAGGAAGAACAAAACCCCCCACTGCAGAAAAACTAAAACGCTTGGTTGGGGGGGGGTTCAGACACCTGATGTGTCCACAGTCTATCTCCAGATAATCACACATTTTCTTAGCACCACCATGATGGATCAGTAAAGACATTTTCTGCAGCAGTCAGATGTTTATCTTGTACTGGATACTGTTTGCCCTGAAGCATCATTAATTTTTCAGCAGAAGCTGCTGCTTGTTTCTTTGTCCAGCCTTGTTGATCAGACAATCATATTACAACCTCAGTACTAAACAGGTAGGGTGCTGTGTAAAATGTAAATTAAAACAGAATGCAATCATTAACAGATTACACAAACTCATATTTTATTCACAATGGAATATAGTAAACATATTAGACGTTGAAACAAAAAAAAATCTAAAATTTACAAGAAAAAAAGGTAATTCTAAATTTGATGGCAGCGACACATCTTAAAGGGGCAATATTATTTGTTTCTCAGGCATACATTTAAATACTGTACAAAGTATCTATATAAAGTATCTATGTCACCTTTAGCTGTTATTAAAATGCTGTTTTGATGTTTAAATAGAAAATAAACTTATCTTCTCATCACTTCTTCTAAACACCTAAATTGGCCTCTGTCTCTTTAAGAACCACCTTCCGCTTCTGTCTCGCCCAATTTGTTCCGGGGGGCTGCCATGATGCAGTTTACTTGGCATCTGAAAATACATTTCCTCAAAGGTATTTTTAATCTGAAAAGAGCTTCACTGAGTGAGAACTAATGTTGAGAGCTCAGCAGACAGTTGAGTTTCACTTTCACCCGAGAGCCTGCAGGAGTCATGGGCAGAGTGTGTGGGGAGGGGGCGGGGGCGCCCCGCCATGAGGAAGTTCGGCTTAAAGACACGCCCCAGGGGTGTTTCTGGTCCCAAAAGGAGTTTCTGGTCGTTTTGCTCCTCAGCATGGCTTCCTAAAAACGCTGCAGGATTTCTCAAACATGCATGAATGAGTCAAAGCAAGACTGGGCATGTTTTTATGAGAGTATAACATTATAACATGATATAAAACTTAAAAAAGTAGATTTTACATGATACTGCCCCTTTAAAAATGTTGGCACAGAGGCAAAAAAAAAAAAAGGCTGTAAGAGCCAGTTGTACAACTGAGAAACAAACGGAGAAACATTTTGCAACAAATCAGGTTTATTAGCAATAGGTCAACTAGCCTGGCCCTTGCCTTCCTACGCAGCTCCGCTCAATTCTAGTTTCCTTTCACTGCTCTGTCTGGGACTTCTCCCATAGACAAGGATTTTGCTGGCAGGTTTTTAGTTGGGCCAATCAGAGAACAGAAGGCGGAGTTTTGAATGACGTCGATGTTCTGTGCTGTGTCTGCTAGTTATTTTAGCATACGGC